TCTCTCTCTCTCTCTCTCTCTCTCTCTCTCTGTGTGTGTGTGTGTGTGTGTGTGTGTGTGTGTGTGTGTTTATGTGTCTCTCTGGTCACCTTTAAAATAATAATAATAAATAAAATTACATAAATAATTCTTTAAAAAAAAAAAAAAGAACTAGAAGACAAACAAAAACAAAACTACCACCAAGATAAGTCGTAAGTAATGAATGTCTGTATCAAAACATCACACTGTACCCCTTCTGGCAATAAGCAAAAAAGCCACAAATGTAATAGGAGAGAAAGACAAGAAAATCAAGTATTACAACACAGTGTGATTAATGGACAAGTTAAAAGCCACCATAATTTAATAGAAGTTTACTTAAAGGTAAGTATTTGGTAGGTATAATCATGTTTTGTGGAAATACACAGGAAATAGAGGAGGAACATTTGACTTAATACAGCAGTCAAGAACATCCAAGATGGGTCATCCAAAAGGTAAAATGGAAGGATCAGCCATGAGGAACAGCAAGGAAAAGTACTGCAGGTAAAAGGAACAGTGCATAGGCTGTAAGTTCTGAGAGAATCAGATCCATTCGATGACCTCTTAAAATAAATTGGGGCCAGCAGGTGGTTTGGTGGTTAAGGAACTAGACTCCCACAAGTCTGACTGAAAGTCTCTAGTCAAAAGCCCATCATCCTAAGGTGTTTCTCAATAAGTCTTTAGCATAATGTAAATAAGAAATGATTCTATAACTGGTGAAAAAAATGTTATAAGTCTAAATCAAGGACCTGCCCCTATGGTTGTATGATTTCCTCTAGAAGAATTGAGCTGCTTTGCCAAGCAAAGACTTAACCAAGTCATTCTGGAAAGGGAAAAGAGAATCTATGGTATCTGCAGAGGAGTGATAATGATCTGTCATGGGCTCCATGATGAGTAAGGAAGAATTTAAGGATAGGAAGAGGGCAATTACTAATGATAAAGTAGGAAAATCAGAAATCAGAGACAGCAAAATCAAAGAATCAAAGTAAGATAAAGAGAATGAAATGCATGAAGTCGAGATTTCTGAGGAGATAATAGTTATTGGTGATGACATTTTTTTTTTTTTAGAGATTTTCGCTATAGGGCACGTGCGCTCGCCAGACAGACAGACAGAGACATAGAGACAGAAAGCGAGAAATCACCCCCCAGGGGGGATGGTCACGCTGCAATCCCTTCTCCTCCATTCTCCTCTCGGGATCTTGGGCATGCATGCACACGCACCCGGCGTGAGTTTTAAGCCACCGGGTCCAGGACGCGAACCACGGTCGACTACGTGGGAGTCCAGCGACATAGCCATTACGCTAACTGCTGGTTCCGGTGATGACATATTTTGAAGTATGTAACAAAAGAGAATTGGGCTACGCTAAGGAGTATCCTGGTAAAAGTAACACAGCTAAAATTCTATTTTCATTTAAGTAATCACTACCACTGTGACAATTTTCTGTTCAGAGAGAACTGGATATGGAATATATGATGGAGTATATAAAAATACTGAAACCAAAAATGCCAACAGTAACCACAATATACAAAACCAAAATACTTCTGTGTATCTTCACTTAAGTTTACTAGGCTTAACACACCTGTGCTCCAGGGACAACCTGCCTGGGTTCAAATTCCAGCTTAAGCACTTACTAGCTAAGTGCCTCCATTTGCATGCTGGCAGGATGGGGTATAATTAGTGTCTACCTCATAGGACTGCTGGGGACGTAAGCCACTGTGTGTAGAGAGCTAAGAATGGTGCCTGGCACATGGTAAACGCTATAAAATGTTAGCTAGTACTACTAGAGTCTAAAACTTTTCTTGGTACATTTCTACCCAAAACTAAGGAGACTTAGGTAGACTGATTTTGAAATAAGACATTTTCCTTGATGCACTTATTTAATGAGTGAATACCTCTTATTAACTAGTTTGGATTATAATAACAAGCTACACCTAGTGCACTAAACATTTTAAAGTGGCAGAAAAGACTTTTTTAAACCTAAAAGGACGGTAAAGCTTAAAAAACTATAAAGAAATATAACCTGCAATGACTGGTGGTGATACTTGGGTTGTCTGTCCTGTAACTGCTTTACTATTAATTGGTTTTGCAAAGATCAGCTTCGTGATTACTGGACCAGAGGTTGGCGTTCGAGGCTTCTTAGCAATCTGAAACATATAAATAACTATGAAGACCACTTGTTTCTATAAAAAACACCCATTCAATAAAAATCAGACAAAAGATTCATATGCAATAGTAGCACATGTGAAACCAGTTCACATAACAAACATCGATCTGTATATAACATTTAAACTATTTAAAATGCAGCCATTCATCAAAATATGAATATGATTACATCCTTAAGTGTATAATACAATAATATATTTCCATTTTGTTATAAATCCTTGTTTTGGTCTCTTAGATATATGCATATGATGAAAACCACATTAATACTTAATAATTTTTAACATTTAATAACACACTATAGCACAGCAATAGTCTTTTTAAAATAACCAGTTATTCAATAATAAAAAGATGGAGTAGAGAAAGTTATGAAAATAAAGTGTAAATGAGGAAGCCACCTATATGTTCAATTACATTGGCCTCTGAATACAAATATGAAGACATCTTTTTTTTTTTTTTACTTTTTTTTTTTTTTGAGAGGTTTTCGCTATAGGGCGCGTGCGCTTGCCAGACAGACAGACAGAGACATAGAGACAGAAAGCGAGAAATCACCCCCCAGGGGGGATGGTCACGCCGCAATCCCTTCTCCTCCATTCTCCTCTTGGGATCTTGGGCACGCACGCACACACGCCCGGCGTGAGTTCTAAGTCACCGGGTCCGGGACGCGAACTGCGGTCAACTACGTGGGAGTCCAGCGACATAGCCATTACGCTAACTGCTGGTTCCCAATATGAAGACATCTTAAAGATAATCTTTTTTTTTTTTTTTTTTGATGGGGGAGAGGTTTTTGCTATAGGGCACGTGTGCTCGCCAGAAAGACAGAGACAGAGAGACAAAAAGAAATCCCCCACACACACCCCAGGGTGATGGCCACACCATAATCCCTTCTCCTCCATTCTCCTTGGGATCTTGGGCATGCATGCACACATGCCTGGTGTGAGTTTAAGCCACGAAGTCTGGGACTCGAACCACGGTAGACTACATGGGATTCCAGCGACATAGCCATTATATCATCTGCTGGTCCCAACACCTTAAAGATAATCTTATGATTAGCCTTTCAAATTTAAAACCATGTATTGGTAGTAGATAAAGAAAGAACTGAACAAGTTGAAGTCCCAGGAAACAGATAAATTTGGTAGAACAAGGGCTGTCAGCTGGCATGGTGGTAGCAAGCACTGGACTCCCACATGGCCAACCATGGTTCAAGTCCCAGACCTGGCAGCTTACTTTCTCACTTGCCCTCTCTCTCTCTTGCTTTGTCCCTCTCTTATAAATAAATAAAGTTAATAAAATAATTCTTAAAAAAAATTGGTAGAACAAAGTCTATTAAGGCTCTGAAATATTATATACTAAAATGCTGTTCACCACACTTTTTTTTTTAACCACACTTTATTTTTTTAAAGTTTCTTTTGTTTGTTTTTTGTTTTGTTTTGTTTTGTTTTACTTTAGGTCATGTGTGTTACCCAGAGAAAGAGAGAAAGCAAGAAATTAACCCCCTGGAAGGGTATTCCCCAGGGAGTGGTGGTCATGCTGTAATCCCTTCTCCTCCAGTCACCTCTTGAGATTTGGGGGCACGCATGCACACTCATCCAGGATGAGTTTCAAGCTGCCAAGTGCAGGACTCAAAGTATGGTTGGCCACGAGAGAGTCCAGCACCTTAACCACTATACTACCTACTGGCCCCATTCACTACACTTTAAATTCTTTGAAGGGAGGGTCTTTTATTCATCTCTGATGTGAAGTAGTTATTGGCACTGAACCTGAACTACATTTTCCACAAGTCAAGAAGGTGGAGTTACCAATGTTTTTGTACTGAAATTATCACCATATGTAAAAACTTAGCTTCTACTAAAAGTTAGAAGCAGAAATTTACCTATGATAAATATCACAGGATTGTAAAATGTGAAGGACATTAAATAATAATTTTATATTGGGACCAGAGGATGGTGTAATTTTATCTTCTGACATATATAAAAATTGAGACCCTGAAAGTACTATTTATTATTGGAAATAATGGCTCAAATGAATAAACATGACCAATTTAAATAACAAAAATAACCAGAAGCTGTAACAGAGCACAGAGCTCAATAAATATCAGTTCTTTGTGTTCAAATTATAAATTAAGTTAGCACATTATCTTACATTCTCAGAACTTAATGCCAACGAAACAAAATGTATAGAAATACTAATCACTTCAGGAAAAAACAAGGAGATCCACTACTCTATTAAAAATTCTCAGCTTGCAAAACTATACCAAACCTAAGCAAATCCATAATTATACTTTAGAAAGTTAATGCAGTTTAGAGACATACAGAGAAAAGATCTGCAAGTGTGTTTATAGACTTAAAAGTTCAAAATCAAAATTTCATCTGTATACATAATATTAATAATCTCAGGAGGGAGAAGTATCGATAATCTTAGAAATCCATACCTAGCAATAAATAACCTTAGTTATAAGGATTAAGAACATGTTTGCCAATTTTTAACTGACTTTCACAATCATATGATGATATGAATACTTACCAAGAAGGAAAGAAATATAAACAATACAACCAAAGCACAACAGTTCTTCAAATGAACAATCTCATCTTGCCCTTGTAGTCGAGTCTCTTTAGTGGAGCAGTGCTGAAAATAACAACTGCCAGTTCCATTAAGGAACTGTGACGTTTTTGCATTATGAATTCTAAACTACCCTAGAACAAAATTATTTAAGTAAAATAAAGCATTAAAAAAAAGTCTTTTTAACAAGTTTATCTCATCAGCAGATTAAGACAAAAATGAAATGGAAAATTTACAAATAAAGTAGCCAAATATGCCATCAAATTATACATGTGAGTATTTTTTGGCATTGTGTTGGATAGATTCAGGAGCCAGTAAGGAGTTACATTACCCCAGACATTTAATTATTTACCACCTTAGACATTATGCACATGAAACATGAGAAAACGTTTATATATCTGTATCTAAGTGCAAACTATAGGGCCAGCTGGTGTCGTGGTAGTTAAGAGGCTGTATTCCACAGGGCTGGCTGTGTGACTTGTGTCCCTGACCCAGCAGCCTGAAAAACACTTCAGGCACGTGTGTGCACATGCCTCAAATCCCAAGAGGAGAATGGAGAAGGGACTGTAACATGGCCAAACCATGTAGGGGGTGCTTTCTCTCTCTCTCTCTCTCCCCTCCCTATCTCTCTCTCTCTTACACCCTGTAGCAAACCAAAATATAAAGATAAATTTAAATTTAAAAAATTAAAACAAGTGTAACTATACCCCTTTATTACTACCTCTGGGCTCAACTGTCACCTCTTTCATTTTTCAAGGTAGGCCTCTTTTTCTAACCCTTACCTGCTATTCATAACCTAACAGTTTAATCGCTCTGACTAAACTTAAGAGAACAATGAGGACAGTCTAGAGAAAAAAAGAAAATCACATATACTATGCAATACTAAAACATATATATTTTTTTAATTTTGGGAGAGGTTTTTTTCGCTATAGGGGGCGTGCGCTCGCCAGACAGGCAGAGAGAGACATAGAGACAGAAAGCGAGAAATCACCCCCCTGGGGTGATGGTCGCACCGCAATCCTTTCTCCTCCATTCTCTTCTTGGGATCTTGGGCACACACGCACATGCGCCCGGCGTGAGTTTGAAGTCACCGGGTCCGGGACGCGAACCGCGGTCAACTACGTGGGAATCCAGCGACATAGCCATTACGCTAACTGCTGGTTCCCGTAAACCAAATATTTTGATGTCTGAAAATGAAAAATACAGATGCCTGATTTTTTATTTGCTGTTTCTGTGCTTTTATAGGTACTTCTGAGTTGGACAGACTTAAGTTGCTCAAAAATAACTGGATGAGCAGAAGAACATCCTAAACAGATTTCTTTCATTTTGGTTAATTTTCTAAATAGAAATCTTTTTTAAAAACAGAGTTGAATCTATTTATTTTAGTGGAATAGGTTTTTATAAAAATGTAACAATAAAACAACTCATAAGAATTTGATCTCAGTTCTTTATTAATACTAGTTAGGGAATTATAGCAGAAAACTAATGGATACAAGTACACTGGTCACTGAAATGCTATGTACATGTTGCTCTTGTAAACCAAAAAAAAAAAAAAAAAAAGACATTCTGATTTATGTTACCAGTTTCTTGTGAACCTGATTACGGTTCACATTGCCAAGCCAGATAAACTCTGGTAAACCAAAACAAGGTTCAAAACTAAGGACAATAAGCTTGATGGTGTTAGGATATCTCATTCCAAAGATCCTTAGCAAAAATTAAGTGAAAAGGAAATCGGCAAAAAGTGAGTTGATAATGAACAAGAAAAAAACACTAACTCTTTAATGGCAGCAGAAGGGACATGGTCATATTACAGGATTGAGAAATCTTACAAAACTCTTAAAGGCAAAGCCCATGAAAAAATAAATTTCTGGTTCTTTTGTCAATAGAGTAACCAAAACATTACTGCTACTATCAGCTGAGTGGATAGTCCCCTCAAACTTTCCCACTTCTTTCACTTCTGTGTGGTATTCTAATTTGCTTAATAACTGTAGTAGTCACTGCAACAACTTCTTCTTTCTTCTAAAAATCAACTCTTTCAAACAGAGAATGCATTTCTGCTTCCTAACCTTGAGTGGATCACTGTATTTTAAGAGTAGTGGTGACCTAAGAAGGCCTATTTGGGCATAAATACTGGAAATCACTTAATATATATCCTGCTAATCTTCTATCTTAGGGTCCTATTCATACTAATAATAGGTACCACTGTGAAAGATCCTCTACTAGGTTTTGAGAACTATGCTATGTATTTCATCATGATCAAATAGTTATTTTTAAAAATTATTTTATTTAACTGTATTTGCTGTTATATTATTATTATTAATATGACAAGAGAGAAAAAGTGAGAAGGCAAGCCACCAGTCCAGGACTTGAACTCAGTTGGCCATGTGAGAGTCCAGCACCCCTAACTACCATGCCACTTGCCAGTCCCTCAAATAGCCATCTTAAGCTAAAGTCAAAACCTCAGGGCGCCAGCAGGTGGCGTGGTGGTTAAGGCACTAGACTCCCATATGGCTGACTACGATTTGAGTATTGGACCTGTTGGCTTGCTTTCTCACTTTGTCTCTCTCTGGTGAGCGCACATGCCCTATAACAAATTAAATAATAAATAAATACAATTAAATTCTTAAGAACAAAAACAAACAAACAAAAAACCCTCAGAGGCGAAGTAACCTACACACAGTTCCATAGCTAGTAGGGCAGGCACGGAGGCAATGCAAACCTAACTGGCCCAACACTTAAAGCTTGCATATTACCTCATAGCTGTGTCACTGTCCTTCCATATTGCAAACATGTGTGATGGCACTGAGCGGCAAACTCCAAATAAGAGCACATACTGGCTAGTGTGCACTAGTGCTGGCTCCAAGGGCAGGAAAGTTTTCCTGACCTTTGGCCATCTGTTAACTGATAGAATTTTGTCGGAATGATTTTTCGATAGACCTGCAGAAAGTCTGGCATCCTTATATCAGTAAGACATCCTTGTAAACAAACTGCCATTAAGAATAAAATACATTTTAAATGAGTAAAAGATAATCAACTCACTAATTTGGAATTTAACCAACATTAGGCTTACTCTAAGTTCTCTGGCAAAACTTTTCATAAGCATTGGACATTTCAAACTTAAAAACAAACAAGACCACACAATTATTTAAACAACATTCAGAAGAATTCAGTATGCATTTAACAACCCTACAAACACAACTATGAATCAGTTTAAGTTTTTTAACATGCACTTCCATTAATAAGCCCCTTTTCTTTTTCTTTTTCTTTTTTTTTTTTTTTTTTTTTTTACCTGTACTGTTTTTAACTGTTGGGTCTGTAACACAGAGGGCTGAGTTGCAGTATTTATCAGTTGACTTCCTGGGGTCAATGCTGAGACACCAATGACAGGTTTCACCTCTGGCCTCCCTCCAATGGTAACTACTTTAATTTGCTGCGGTGGTAACTTAGCATCTCCTGACTGGGCCTGAGTTGTAACTTTCTGAGCCTGGGGTAGTTGGCTATGGGGTAGTGCTAAAACAATTGGTGAACCAGACTTGCCCAAAGTTGTTAAAATTAACTTCTGTCCATCTGGTTTAAGGGTCTGATTGCCAAGCTTAAGATCAGATGTCTGTGATACTTTGTTTAAAATAATCTGATTGGCTGATATAGTCACAGGAGTCTGAGCACCAAGTTTTTGAAGGCCACTTGGAAAAGCTGGTTTCACTGTGGTATTAGAATCTGCTTTAGTAATTGTGGTATTCACTGCAACTTGGTTAGTGTGGTTACTGTACACTGTGATTGGTTCCGTGGAAATGGGCGTGGCTGTAGAGTCACCAGTAGAATTTATGTTGACAATTTCTTCCAGTTCTGTTTCCATAGGAATTGGGGATGAAACAATAACAGCCTCAATACTATCATCATCCACTAAAGTTATACCAGTGTCCATTATCTCCTCTGGAAGCAAGCTATTCACCTCAGCTGGCACCACCTCCATGATCGTTCTTCTGCTAGAAAGTTGATCAGGCGCTGCAATAAAAGTTGAAAAATGAGTAAGTACTAGGTTTCAAAACAGATTTAAGAGGAAAAAATACAAACATTCGAGAAAAATGCAAATGACAAAATAACCGTTTTTTTAATTGATGTATAATTGGATGAAGGAATATCCTTGATGCTTATTTTATTGATACAAAATTAAATGAAGGATATCCTGATGCATATTTTGGTTAAACCTTTTTTTAAGAGAAATTTTTGCTATGGAGCACATGCACTTGCTAGAGAGACAGGAAAAAAAAAAAAAAAAAAAGGGCAAGAGATCACCCCCTGGAGGGTATGGCCATGCCATAATCCCTTCTCCTTCATTCTCATCTCAGGATTTTGGTCAGACACGCACACATACGTGCCCAGTGTGCAGTCGACTATGTGGGAGTCCAGCAACATAGCCATTATGTCATCTGTTGGTCCCAGACTAAACCTAAACACACCCTCAACCTTCAAGAATCCAGAACAGGGCCAATCTGTGGCATGGTGGTTAAGGTGTCTACACCTCACATGGCCAACTGAGCAGTTCAAGTCCTGAACCTGGTGGCTTAAAAACACATGCCCAGTATATGTGTGTGCATGCCCAAAATAATGAGAGAAAACTGCAGAAGGGCCTGCAGCGTGGCCATCCCCCTAGGGGGTGATTTCTCACTTGGTCTCTCTCTCTCTCTCTGGTGCCCTACAGCAAAAACAAA